TAATTCAACAAAACAATGGCTGCAACAGCACAGAATACGCCTTCTGGAGTGGCCCAGTCAGAGTCCTGACCTCAACCCGATTGAAATGCTGTGGCATGACCTTAAGAGAGCGATTCACACCAGATATCCCAAGAATATTGCTACACTGAAACAGTTTTGTGAAGAGGAGTGGTGCAAAATGACTCCAGATATCGTTGTGCAGGCAATAGGGGATCATGGGGCCCCTGTGTCTTTGCCCAAACTCAAAAAAGCCTATAAAAAAGGTACCAGGGGCATCTCATGGGGCCCCCTAATGACCCCGGGCCCTCGGGCAGTGTGCCCGAGTTTCCAAATGGTCAGTCCGCCCCTGGATCTATGTATACAAATGTTGCTGTGTAGATACTATATCTTCAGCATTCACATAAGCACAAATGGTTAGCACTTCCTCCTGGCAGTACTAGGGTTGTTGGTTCAAATCCCAACCACAGTACCACCTGCCTGGAGTTTGCATGTTCTCCCTGTGCCTGAGTGGGTTTCCTCCGGGTACTCCGGTTTTCTCCCACACTCCAAAGACATGCTGGTAGGTTAATTGGCTCCTGTCTAAATTGGCCCTAATATGTGTATGTATGAATGTGAGTTAGGGACCTTAGATTGTACGCCCCTTGAGGGTTAGGACTGATGTGAATGTACAATATATATGTAAAGCACTGTGTAAATTTGACGGCGATATATAAGTACCTGAAAGAATAATAATAAGCACAGTGAACGATCACCTCATTGCTTGTATTATGATTATCTTCTATGATGGCCAGCTTCATCTAGTGGCCATAATGCAGTATTTTTCAGAAATATCTCAAATTTAAAAAAAAATACCACATTATGGCCACTAGATGGAGCTGATGATCATAAGAGATAATCATAATACAAACAATACAGTGACCATTCGTTGTGCCTGTGAGAATGCTGAGGATATCTGCGCAGTAAATGTTTTATACATACACTCCTAAGTTTTTCATATAGTCTTCTGTGCAGGTAGTGGTGTAACTGTGAATCATGGGGCCCCATAGCAAAATTTTTATGGGGCCACAAAGAACTCTGTAGCCAGGGCAGGGACAAGGGGTGAGCAGGAAGGGAAGCTGCCCTGGGCGCAGATGAGAAAGGGTGCAAAGAATAGATGCAGGGTGGTACCCCCATTCTATGACATGGGGGGGAGTTGTGGGTCCTTGCTCTGGACGTTGGAAAATTGTGGCAATACGTGTCATTGATCGTAACATAAAGTATAGCTAAATCAAGGCTAGGTAGCAGGAGAGCTATCAGCATAATCAGTCCTCATAATCAGTCCACAATGCTTTGAATATGGGCCCCCTTCCTACCCCAGGCTCCATAGCAGTTGCATGTTACATCCAGTACTGGGAAAGATGAGTCCAGCGCCCAGGGCAAGTATGTGACACCCCACCACTACTAATGTATGATATAGATTGGGTGTACCACCCTGCACCCATTCTTTGCCCTCTTGATCCAGCAGCCAATGGTTGCAATGTAGCGGGTACCACCCTGCACCCATTCTTTGCCCTCTTGATCCAGCAGCCAATGGTTGCCATGTAGCATGGTAACACCCTGCACCCATTCTTTGCCCTCTTGATCCAGCAGCCAATGGTTGCCATGTAGCATGGTACCACCCTGCACCCATTCTTTGCCCTTTTGATCCAGCAGCCAATGGTTGCCATGTAGCATGGTACCACCCTGCACCCATTCTTTGCCCTCTTGATCCAGCAGCCAATGGTTGCCATGTAGCATGCATTGCACATGCGTGGCGAATCTCCTATTAGTAGGTAGTTGTGCATGCGTGTTGTATGTATTTTTCATGTCAGTTGTGAATGGATGGGGTAGGAAGTGGGCATGTTGGAATGCGGTGTGACAGCAGGAGCTTTTCGGTTGCCAGCCGCTGATCTGGAGCCCCTGCCCACCGCTGCACCCAGGGCTCCAGCCCACTCCTTCTCTTGGCCCTGGTTACACCATTAATGTAGGTGAAAAAGTCGGCGGAAACTGTCTTGTATGGAAAGAAGGTCAGGTGAGTCAATAAAAGGCTACAAACTATTGATGGCCCACCAAGTCCCTTCACCAACACGCACAAGAAATACACCACTGAAAAATTGTGATATGGCATCATGTATGGCAGCGTTCTTTACAGCTCGAGACAGGGAAATAACTTCCCTACAAAGGTTGCCAGCTGCTGATCTGGAGCCCCAGCCCACTGCTGCACCCAGGGCTCCAGCCCACTCCTTGTCTTGGCCCTGATTAGACTATCAATGTAGGTGAAAAAGTCGGAGGAAACTGTCTTGTATGGAAAGAAGGTCAGGTGAGTCAATCAAAGGCTACAAAACTATTGATGGCCCACCAAGTCCCTTCACCAACATGCACAAGAAATACACCACTGAAAAATTGTGATATGGCATCATGTATGGCAGCGTTCTTTACAGCTCGAGACCGGGAAATAACTGCCCTACAAAGGAAATTTGTCCATCATCTGTCACATCCACCTTTTTTTTTTCTTCCTTGACACTCCGGAGCCTCCAAATTTAATTTAATGTCTTACGCTCCTAACCAGTCGTTGCAAAAATTTACATAATGTTCTAATTGCCCACAGCTAAATTCTTCTTTCCTGACATTAAAGTTGACTCGCATCAATCACTCAACATTATATGGCAACCGCTAGAGTGATTCCTCTTGATGAATCCGATCCGACATTTTGGATCAAAACACGACGCATCAGAAGATAGACTTCAGAGCTCGTTACCTTTAACATTTCTCCCATTCTGCCCGTTGAATGTCCCAAGTCCCCCTAAACGCTCTCACCAAGCCTTCACCTCCCCTCGTTCTCACCCCTTCCGTCTTTGGCGACAGCCTTCTTCTTCCAGAAAGGGTTCGCTTTGTCGGTTTTGTAACTAGGGCAATGACATATTCAAAAAGGAACACGGAATTTTCCTGTCTGCCTGGTGGAAATTGTGACTGACAGGTACTACAACTATGCAATTCTATAATTATCGCTTTTGAAACCTGCCAAGGGAAAATTATAAAGGATTGAACCGCTAAATAGAGAACATTTTCATTATAGCAAACTATAAAATCACGGGTCCTATTACAAAAAAAAGAAATAAAAAACACAAAAGGAAAAAAAAAGCGGGGAAAAAAACCTCTATTTATGGGATTATATGGTGAAGCGTCAGATAATAAACAAGGCTTTGTAATCGATGTCATGACTTTTACGAATGATGCTCTCGAGTAGTTTCATAAATTGGTGTCTTCTATGAATACAAAGCTCATTCAGGTTGAAGTATGTGGTATGAACCAACTCCCAAAGAAAAACATTGTTTTCCTTCCAAAAATTGATACAATGTATATAGTATAAGTACTGTGCCAGTTATTTTATAGCACTACCGTCTCTATTTGCAGCTTCTTGTAACTATATAAACAACTTTGTATGTCCTTTACTTATATTCATGTGGCCTGAGTAGATACTGGGTGGTCCTCTAGCTATGGTCCAGCTAGGCCCTTGGTGGCCTCAGTAGACGCATGATGGTCCTCTAGCTATGGTCCAGCTAGGCCCTTGGTGGCCTCAGTAGACGCATGATGGTCCTCTAGCTATGGTCCAGCTAGGCCCTTGGTGGCCTTAGTAGACACATGATGGTCTTCTAGGGATGATCCAGCTAGATCCTTGGTGGCCTCAGTAGACACATGATGGTACTCTAGGGCAGCCTTTCTCAACCAGGGTGCCCAGGCACCTTGGGGTGCCTTGAGGTTTCTTCAGGGGTGCTTTGGCAAAATGTCTAAAAATTGCTCAAAACTTGCATACAAGCCAGCGGGTGGAACAAACCTGCCTTTTAGTTACTCAAAGCCACAGGTTTTCATTGCACCATTGCGACCTTCTAGCCGCCAGCATCCTGACAACCAGTGACATCATCAGTTGATAAGGAGGATGTCAGCTACCTGCACAGCATCCTAATTTGACCCTCTCCTGCCAGTCTCCATCAGTGCTTGGATCACATTAGCCTGGACACCACCAACCTATTGACACCACCTCGTATGTTCTTCCTAGGATGTGGTTCTGGGTGGATTTTCCCTTTTTTTCCCTTTAAGAATAATCTCCTACAAAGACAGTTCATTCTTTCTCTTTATTATTAGGGCTCCTTCCAGTTCCTTCAATTAGCATATAAATGCGTATACATGTGCCTGCGTGCTTCCCATAATTTACACTTTATTTGCAGCCGTCTATCTTTTCCTTTTAATTTCCCTTTTAATTAGTAATTTTGTTGTGAGCAGTTTATGTGGTTAGACGAAGCATAAAGTATCCAGAAAAGGGCGTATTCACTGATTTCTGTCTGCGACTCCTTCTATAGGTCGGGGTTCCCCCTGTTATGTCTTCCTATGGCGGCATTAGTAGACCTCCAGTGATCTGGTTTCTGGTGAACCATAATTCCCAGCATTCCCTGTTGGCAGTGACATCACTTTGATGTTTTCTGAGCCTTCTTTCCGAAGGCTTCTTTTGGTGATTAGACTACTATGAGGGTAATCTAATGTGCTCAACCCAGGGGCGGACTGACCATTTGGAAACTCTAAGGGCCCGGGGTCAGTAGGGGGCCCCATGAGATGCCACTGGTACCTTTTTCATAGGCTCTTTTGAGTTTGGGCAAGGACACAGGGGCCCCATGATCCCCTATTGCCCAGGGGCCCCATGAGTTGTCAGTCCGCCCCTGGCTCAACCCCTTGCCCTCCAGAGGATTCCCCCCCCCCCCCCCCCCTGACCAGGCCATTTTTGGCGATACGGCGCTGCGTTACTTTAACTGACAATTGCACGGTCATGCATCACTGCACCCAAATTCTCCACAAATAGAGCTTTCTTTTGGTGGTATTTGATCGCCGGTGTGGTTTTTTATTTTTGCGCTATAAGCAAAAAAAGACCGACAATTTTGGGGAAAAAAAAAAACAATATTTTGGACTTTTTGCTATTAAAAACTTTAATACCGGACACTTTCACCCTCTTCCAGTCCGGACACTTTCACCCCCTTCCAGTCCGGACACTTTCACCCCTTCCAGTCCGGACACTTTCCCCCCCTTCCAGTCCGGACACTTTCCCCCCCTTCCAGTCCGGACACTTTCACCCCCTTCCTGTCCGGACACTTTCACCCCCTTCCTGTTCGGACACTTTTACCCCCTTCCAGTTCGGACACTTTCTCCCCCTTCCAGTCCGAACACTTTCCCCCCTTCCAGTCCGGACACTTTCCCAACCCTTCCAGTCCGGACACTTTCCCCCCTTCCAGTCCGGACACTTTCCCCCCCTTCCAGTCCGGACACTTTCCCCCCCTTCCAGTCCGGACACTTTCCCCCCTTCCAGTCCGGACACTTTCCCAACCCTTCCAGTCCGGACACTTTCCCCCCCTTCCAGTCCGGACACTTTCCCCCCTTCCAGTCCGGACACTTTCCCCCCCCTTCCAGTCCGGACACTTTCACCCCCTTCCAGTTCGGACACTTCCCCCCCCTTCCAGTCCGGACACTTTCACCCCCTTCCAGTCCGGACACTTTCACCCCCTTCCAGTCCGGACACTTTCACCCCACTTTCACCCCCTTCCAGTCCGGACACTTTCCCCCCCCCCCCCTTCCTGTGCAGGCCAATTTTCAGCTTTCAGTGCTATCACACTTTGAATTGCGCGGTCATGCAACACTGTACCCATATAAATTTTTTAGGTTTTTTTTTAGACAGATAAAGCTTTATTTTGGTGGTATTTATTCACCGCTGGGATTTTTTTTTTTTTGCCACAGTATATAAATGAAAAAGTCCAAACATTTTGAAAAAAAAAATGTTTTTCTTATAAAATTTTGCAAATAAATAATATTTCATCATAAATCTTGGCCAACATTTATTCCGTTATCTTTTTAGTAAAAAAAAATAATAACTCAAATTAGTTTATAACCAAAAATTATAATTTTTAAAAATGTTTTTTACATTTTTATTTTTTTTTTTATATTATTATCTATGGGGTTTTTTTTTTTACATACTGTCACCCTAGCAGTACAATGTCACCATGGTGATACTGTACTACTTGTGGGGGGTGATGAAGATTTTTTTTTTTTTACACACTATATGCTTTTACACCCATAAAGGCTGTAATAGCAATCATTTCTCCTTCTCTCTGGCTGCATTCTTGCAGCCATTGAGAAATACTGTGTGAGCTGTGATTGGTCACAGCTTGTCACTTGGTACAAAGGCTGTTGTGAATAGCCCTGTACCATGCGATCTCTGTGATCATTCACAGATTTCACACATAGTAAGCAATGATGTCAGAAGTGACATCTTGCTTACTACTCTGCATGTGATCGCGATCGGTGTTCCATTGTGTCTGGAGGACAAAGCAGCACCGGATCGAGGTGCGGGCTCCCAAGGCGCGTTTATAAACGGCCACCCGACCCTGCACTGCCACCGTCTGGCCGTTTATATACAACAGCTGGACAGGAGGGGGTTAAGAGGATTTAAAGTGGTTGTAAACCTCAGACATGAAATGTGAACAAAGCATATCCCTCTATAATGTGTACTTGTCTCAGTCCGGAGCACTAATGCAGGCCATACATGGGTCGAATTCCAAACTAATTTTCTTTAGAAAATGAAAATTTTGTGCGTTTTTTAATCCGATGGCGCCACCATTGATATTGAAATGCAACCAACCAAGCCTTCAATTTCCCCTCGTGTTGCTACAGAAAAGGATTTTCTCGGCCAAGAATTTTCTTTTCTTTCCAGGTCACAGCTCACGCTCATTTCTTTTTGAATTATATTTCTCACACGATGCTCCCATCCTTGATTCGAAATTCATTTGTTTTTCAAAATATTTCCAGCATGCCCGATCACTGAGATTCGATGGTCACATGAAAATCAGCTGTTTCTATGACCCACTAATGGTGCGAAATTGGAACGAAAATTCTTAGAAAAGATTTTTGAAAGAAAATTCTTTCAGAATTCGACCCGTGTTATTGCAGGCCATACATGGTTCGAAATCCGAACGATTTTTAGTCTGAAAACGTCGTTCACTCGGTAATCCGATGGCGCCATCTATGATTTCGAAAATCGGCCGACCAAGTCATAAAGTTCACCCCATATAACAGGCGAAACTTCTCTTCCTTCCAGGTTTTCTTTTTGGGAAAAACGATCGTACGATTTGACCATCATTGAAACAAAAATCGGTCGTTTTTCACGAATTCTCCAACATGCCCGATCACCGAAAAGGGGAGGAATCACGAAAAAAAAACGGCTGGTGCCATTGACCCCACTAACAGAGCGAAAATCGGCTGATTATTCTTAGGTTCGATTTTCGGATGAAAAAACGGTCGAATTTCGACCCTTGTATGGCCGGCCTAAGGGGTTGATTTACTAAAACCGGAGAGTGCAAAATCTGGTGCAGCTGTGGATAGAAACCAATCAGCTTCCAGGTTTAGAGTTTAATTGAAGTTAGAAGCTGATTGGCTCCCATGCACAGATACACCAGATTTTGCACTCTCTGCATTTTGCCGACACCAAGAGATAAAAAGGTGACAGGGAAGGGAGCTCCAGCACACAGGCTGTGATTGACAGCCTCAGCTATGTTCCTGTGTGGAGTAGGGCGGGGGGGGAGTCCCTTCCCTCCAATCAGCTCTCTGAGCTCCCTTCACTAAGCTCTGCAGAGTGTAACTTCAGCTCTCTCCACCCCTTTTTTCTGATAGCTCAGACAAGCTGTATAAATTCTGCACTTTGAATAGATTTAGAGAAGACTGCAGATAAACAGGTACAACTTATGTAGGAAGACTTGTTTCATCTCTGTGTGCATCACCCAAGGTCAGTAACTTCACTGGGTATATAGTATGTGAGACCGCGCAATTGTCATTCAAAATTCAACAGCACTGAAAGCTGAAAATTGGCCTGGGCAGGAAGGGGGTAAATGTGCTCGGTAGGCAAGTAGTTAAACGATCCTCAATTGGTACTAAGGGGTCCTAAGTGTGCAAAGAAAATATCCCCAAAAATATCCCGATGACACCACCACCACCAGCCTGGACCAAGGCAGGATGGATCCATGCTTTCATGTTGTTTACACCAAATTCTGACCCTACCATCTGAAATCGAGACTCATCAGACCAGGCAATGTTTTTTCAATCTTCTATTGCCCAATTTTGGTGAGCCTGTGCGAATTGCAGCCTCCGTTTCCTGTTCTTAGCTGACAGGAGTGGCACCTGGTTTGTTCTTAGCTGACAGGAGTGGCACCCGGTTTGTTCTTAGCTGACAGGAGTGGCACCCGGTTTGTTCTTAGCTGACAGGAGTGGCACCCGGTTTGTTCTTAGTTGACAGGAGTGGCACCCGATTTGTTCTTAGCTGACAGGAGTGGCACCCGGTTTCTTCTTAGCTGACAGGAGTGGCACCCGGTGTGGTCTTCTGCTGCTGTAGCCCATCTGTTTCAAGCTTTGACGTGCTGTGCATTCAGAGATGGTGTTCTGCATACCTTGGTTGTAATGAGTGATGGTTGGAGTTACTGTTGCCTTTCTATCATCTGGAACCAGTCTGCCCATTCTCCTCTGACCTCTGACCTCAATTAGGCATTTTCCTCCACACAACTGCCACTCACTGGATATTTTCTCTTTTTTGGGCCATTCTCTGGAAACCCTAGAGATGGTTGTGTGTGAAAATCCAAGTAGATCAGCAGTTTTTCAAAAATACTCAGACCAGCCAGTCTGGCACCAACAACCATGCCACGTTCAAAGTCACTTAAATCCCCTTTCCTCCTCATTCTGATGCTCGGTTTGAACTTCAGCAAGTCGTCTTCACCACATCTAGATGCCTAAATGCATTGAGTTGCTGCCATGTGATTGGCTGATTAGCAATTTGTGTTGCCAAGCAATTGAACAGGTGGACCTAATGAGCAGGTCCGGAACAAGGGGTGGGCAGGATGGGCAGCTGCCCTGGGCACAGAGGAACAAGGGGGCAGAGATTGGACACAGGGCAAGAAACCAATTCTGTAGCATGTGTTAACAGTGGGGGAAGGGGTGCAGTTTGGCATCCTTGCCCTGGCCGATGGGAACAGGTGAACTTACCCTTTTCAAGTTTGTACATGAATCAGTCTCTATGAAGATGCAGAAGGGAGACTTAAATCCCCTTTCCTCCCCATTCCGATGCTCAGTTTGAACTTCAGCAAGTAGTCTTCACCACGTCTAGATGCCTAAATGCATTAAGTTGCCGCCATGTGATCGGCTGATTAGCAATTTGTGTTACCAAGCAATAGAACAGGTGGTCTGGGACAAGGGGTGGGCAGGATGGGCAGCTGCCCTGGGCACAGTGGAGCAAGAGGGCAGAGATTGGACACAAGGCAGGAAACCAACTCTGTAGCATGTGTTAACAGTAGGGGAAGGGGTGCAGTTTGGCATCCTTGCCCTGGGCGCTAGATGAACTTGTCCCGGTATATGCACATGGCCGATGGGAACAGGTGAACTTACCCTTTTCAAGTTTGTACATGAATCAGTCTCTACGAAGATGCAGAAGGGAGACTTAAATCCCCTTTCTTCCCCATTCTGATGCTCGGTTTGAACTTCAGCAAGTCATCTTCACCACATCTAGATGCCTAAATGCATTGAGTTGCCGCCATGTGATCGGCTGATTAGCAATTTGTGTTACCAAGCAATAGAACAGGTGGTCCGGGACAAGGGGGGGGGGCAGGAGGGACAGCTGCCCTGGGCACAGAGGAGCAAGGGGGCAGAGAATGGACACAGGGCATTAAAAGAATTCTGTAGTATGTGTTAACAGGGGTGCAGTTTGGCATCATTGCCCCTGCCGATGGGAAGAGGTGAACTTACCCTTTTAAAGTTTGTACATGAATCAGTCTCTATGAAGATGCAGAAGGGAGACTTAAATCCCCTTTCTTCCCCATTCTGATGCTCGGTTTGAACTTCAGCAAGTCGTCTTCACCACATCTAGATGCCTAAATGCATTGAGTTGCTGCCATGTGATCGACTGATTAGCAATTTGTGTTACCAAGCCATTGAACAGGTGGTCCGGGACAAGGGGTGGGCAGGAAGGGCAGCTGCCCTGGGCACAGAGGAGCAAGGGGGCAGAGAATGGACATAGGGCATTAAACCAATTCTGTAGCATGTGTTAACAGTGGGGGAAGGGTGCAGTTTGGCATCCTTGCCCTGGCCAATAGAAACAGGTGAATTTACCCTTTTCAAGTTTGCATGAATCAGTCTCTACGAAGATGCAGAAGGGAGACTTAAATCCCCTTTCTTCCCCATTCTGATGCTCAGTTTCAACTTCAGCAAGTTGTCTTCACCACATCTAGATGCCTAAATGCATTAAGTTGCCGCCATGTGATCAGCTGATTAGCAATTTGTGTTACCAAGCAATAGAACAGGTGGTCTGGGACAAGGGGTGGGCAGGATGGGCAGCTGCCCTGGGCACAGTGGAGCAAGAGGGCAGAGATTGGACACAGGGCAGGAAACCAACTCTGTAGCATGTGTTAACAGTAGGGGAAGGGGTGCAGTTTGGCATCCTTGCCCTGGGCGCTAGATGAACTTGTCCCGGTATATGCACATGGCCGATG